CTCTGATATCAAAAATTCAACTCCCGGTCAAATTTCTAACTTAAATTTCCTATTTCCGCCATTTCAAGCATAATTTAACTACGGACTTCCAAATAATTTTTCGGACACACTGCTAAGTCTAAAATCACCATACATAGCTATTAGAATCATCAAAACTCCATTCCGGGTTCGTTTACACATAAGTCAACATCCGATCAACCTTTTCAACTTAAGTTTTCATCCTTGAGATTAAGTGTCTCAATTCATTCTGAAACCTCACCGGACCCGAACCAATTACCTCGACAAGTCACATAACAATTGTAAAGCATAAAATAAGCAGTAAATGAGGAAATATAGTTGTAATACTCAAAACGACCGGCCGGGTCATTACAAACACAACAACAACAACAACAACAACAACCCAGTATAATCCCACTAGTGGGGACTGGGGAGGGTAGTGTGTACGCAGACCTTACCCCTACCATAAGGTAGAGAGGCTATTTCCAATAGACCCTCGACATCCTTCCCTCCAAGAACTCCCCACCTTGCTCTTGGGGTGACTCGAACTTACAACCTCTTGGTTGGAAGTGAAGGTTGCTTACCATCATTACAAACACAATCAAGGTATTATAAATAGAATTGTATTTAAGGTGGATGTCTATATTTCAGAGAGATTTTAGAATTTGTTACTTGGTGGCTAAGTCACTTTTTCCCTATAAATAAATGAGTTCTATTATATTGTAATTCATCCCAAATCAATAAGAATTCTCTCTCTACTTTTCTCTATAATACTCTTCTTCTTCTTTTATTATTTCATAACATGTTATCAGCACGAGACTCTGCAAAAATTGAGTAGAGGCATCTGCTTTGGTCACCGGACTTTGGGATACGTGCATGGTGCTCAACTTGTATATTGAGTATAATGATTGTCAATTGTTCCATGAACTTCCTTCAAGAATAAATTTTGGATTTAAGGTAAGTATTTTACCTTATATCTCTCTTTTAAATTCTTAACATTTTATAATTTGAATTTAAATACAAGCAAAGACAATAAATTTTGATTATAACTCTAATGAAGTTTTTAATAACCACCCGAAATGGTTAAATTTCTATGCTTTGCCATGATCAAATTCATGTATGATTGTGGGCACAAGAAGTGGAAACCCGTCCCATTGAATTTGCTTCATTCTCATTCCCTTAAGAGAATGTGGTAGCAATATGTGATAAGTCTGAAAGAGATAAAATTATTACCGTGAAGGTATCAATGGATGTGGACGTGGCAATTGACGAAATTATAATCGTCATCATTGTGATAATGAAATAATAAGGATTCTCAAATTAATCCTTCACTCTGTAAAATAATATGTGTCATCGATTTGACATAAAATTTTGTAAAGCACATATAAATGATTATGGTCCATTCATGATGTGAACGTGAAAACATGTGATTTATGAATACATATTCATTTTTGAAAGAATATGAACGTGCTAGTGGTAATGAATATACCACACTCACCTCTAGAAAGAGGTTTGAGATGAAATAAGAAAATAATTTTATTACTATGGCATAAATGGTTATTAACCACGTACCTATTGTGATTATGCCAAAATATTATGACAATGTGATTATTACATGGCAAAGTAATAGAAGCAACATATGTTTCCTATAATGATTTTGACTGTGACCATAATGGTATAGCTTTCTCTTTGAAAGATATATTTACCATATGGATGTTGATGAATATGTGATAGTACAAAATTAATTGAGAGCTCTAGAAGAGCCAATTATACTATTTTGGAGAAATAAAATAGATTATCAATAAGGTATTGTGTCATAGTAAGTCTTAAAGAAACTTATTGAGTTTCTAAAGTATTCGCGAAAGCGGTTGGCTATATTGAGACCATAAATAAATGAAAGATTTAATATCTTATATTACTATAACTTGTGGCGGGTAATATGTATATGAAAAGTTACCCCCTTTATTCTCTAGTTTGTACTAAACAAATAAAAGAATTCTATAATAAAGTAAAAGTTTATCGATATAAAAATCTATATAATAATAAACTTGGAGTTTATTGACAATTGCACACGTCATGGTGTAAACCTGAAGTTTATCAATATTGATAATTTATCCGACTGGCATAATTGATTCAGCCATGGTAATATAAGTATGATGTGCAAAATAAAAAAAATTCACATGGGTAAATATTAAAGAACTAGAAGGTTCTTTATGAATTGGCTTAAGTTGTTTGTTCTCATTGATTAATAGACCAACTAAAACTGGGATTGAATCCCATGAATGCTGGAAATATCAAAGGTGAATATGTGCCCATTCATCTGCCATGTATACCACGTAAGATGCATCTATGAGATGGTTACATTTAAAATTATTATTAACCCGCTGGTGTTTGCGAGGTAAGTTGCTCAATAATTAAATTTAGAGTATAATTTTCAGATTTTCTATTCAAGAAGTTTATCTTGATAAGTTGGTTTACTCACAGTTGGTTTTGCAAAATGATTTATTGAGTGCCTCCACTTAATAGGTAAACTATTACTTATGAGAACAGAGTTATCTATATCAGTTTGATATACGTTATACGAAAGCATATTACATTCTCCCCTCACAAGTGGTTCAGGATCAAGAATCAAATAGTTTCATCTTATTATTATTGATGTGCGGTGTATATTTTAATTAACACCATAATGTACAAAGGTGGGTTTTCAAAGTTGAGGAAGCAAGTTAGTTTTTCTAACATGAGGGGGAGACAAAATAAACAGTTGAGAAAATATTACGTGGAATAAATTATCATTTGTACATCTAGATCCTAGAATAAAATAATATGAACTTGAAGTTCATAAAAAGATAATTCATCTGCAATATATTGTAAAGCATGTCATGTGCATTTGCTGACCAAAGAAAGTAACTATATTCTCACTGCAAATGCTCATATTAGAATAAATCCTAGAAGGACAAAGTTTATGATACGCTTAAAGCGTATAGACAAATCAGCTTCAAATAAAATTCTTGATAAAGAAGATGAACAAATATGTAGCGATATTTTTTCGTTTTCAAATAGCCAATATGTGGGAGCTCCCGAAAACGAATTGATAAACGAAAAATATCGCTACAAGAGAAAGAAGCATAGTGGGACAAAGAAGCTGGAAAAAAAAAAGGAGAGGACAGTTTGTGCTTATAAAAAGGAGAGTACAGTGGAATTTATGATGCCATTGAATCAAACTAGTGAAGATGTTTAATTTCAGAAAAAAAAAAGACTTGCATGAGCTAGTGTAGATGTTTAATCTTAAAAAAAATGCACAGAACTTGTGAAAGATAAAGTTGTATAAGAAATCTTACAATAGTATTTGAAGACTCCTCGTCCAGTGGTCTACCATCCTTATGCTTTGTATGAGTTAATATGTAAACTTCTGCACGTGTAGGTTCTATTCCATCTATAGCCTAATAAAGATTAGTTGATTCCAAACAATTAGACATGAATAAAAAGAGTTGCAGAATCTAATACTATATAATTTACGCATGATTACCTTTTCATTCATCAAAGTTGCTATGCTTTTGGATCCTCCGGTGTGAGGCATCTTTTGCTTAGCCCTACTAATTCTCTTTGCTTGACTACGCTTCTGTCATTTGCAACATAAAAGCGTACTCACTAACTGTACTTTAGCATATAGGGTAAAGTATTTATTAGATGATTTGTGCAAAGTAAATATTAAGGACATAATATCATTAATTTGTATTTGCAATTTCTATTGTTAAATTTTAGGACATTATGTCCTTAACTTTATATGTGCAATGTAAATATTAAGGACATAGTGTCCTTAACTTCATATGTACAGTGTAAATGTTAAGGACATGGTGTCCTTAACTTCATGTGTGCAATGTAAATATTAAGGACATAGTGTCCTTAATATTTTACATATCACTCATGAAGTTAAGGACAACATGTCCTTAATATTTACACATTACTCACGAAGAAAGGGTAAAAAAGACTTTTCGTATCAATTTTAATAGAGTATTGGCTATTTTTGCTCAACATTAATAACATTGGGTAAAAAGTAAATACCACTTAAAAAAGTGGCTATACCACGCCATTTCCGGATCCCAGAGAACAATGGTATTTTCACGGTGAACAGTTGTAATATATAAGTTTGTATTTTTGGTGGACTTTGATTTATGAGGCAATGCTAACCCAAGAAAATTTACAAAGGAGAGCAATGATTCTTCGCAGCAAATATATGCCTGCTATGAAAAAAGAGCGAAGAGGAAGCTAATCACTTATTTTTGCATTTTAGCTTCTCTACGCAGAGCTGGAATCTGTTCTTCAATCTTTTCCAGGTCAGTTGGGTTATGCCAAGAACTATTAAACAACTGCTACAATGCTGGACTGGCAAGGGTATTGGAAGGGGAAGAGGAAGATATGGAAGACCATTCCGGCTTGTGTTTGGTGGCTGATTTGGAAGGGGAAGATGAAGATAAGAACTTTCACGTTCTCCAACATACTAGCCTCAACGTACTATCAAGAATGCATAATACTTGTCGAAATTGGAAAAAAACATTGACAACTTCATAGAAATCAGTAACAAGTTCATCTTTTACAGCCTTATACAAGTATTACATGCATACAGAGAGAGAGACAGAGAACTACACTGACATATAACAACATTTTGATGTTTTGCATTATTAGGAAGACCAAATCACTACGCCAAGGCTTTTAGTGGCAATATTTATTGCCGCAAAAACATACCCATATTATTGCCGCCAAAACTAATTACTTTTAGCAGCATTTATTCAAGGGACCTTTATTCAATTACCATAGCCACTAAAGCTGACGTAGAAATATAGTATTTAACATATTTTGTGACTTTTGTTATTGCCGCTAAAATTCAACAATTGCCATTAAAGGGAATTTATTTTAGTGGCAATTATTATGGTGGCTAAACTGACCATAAATTCACCTTAATCCACTCATTTAATGAAACACTATTTTATAACATCAAAAACAAAGATCACAAGAGCAATACCTTCTAACTAGAAGAATTATCAAACTCAAAACAATGTCATTTACTTGAAACAAGAACTAACAAATCCGACACAACAACTTATTTATCGACTTGTAAGAAATGTAGTATCCTTATGTACAAGACAACTAAACATCAAATTGGAAACCGAGTCTCTCATCAACAATGTGATATTCTCGATCCTCTCTTCCTTTTATTAACAATGTGCTACTCTTGTCAGCTATCGTTGTGTGACCTTAGAGCCAAATTTCCTTGTTTAAGTTCCTGCATTTCACCATCATACAATAAGAATTTTTTGCAGAAAAAATACATATTATAGCATATATGAGAGCAAATCCAAGAAGATAGCACGAATTAAAGTAATATTCGTGTAACCATTTGAGATAGAATTATACCATGAATCAAATTCTTGTAATATAATGTCTTAGAACAGTTTGTTAAATTACAACCTTAATCAAATACTATTCCTTTTAAGCAAGATGTCAAGGCATTAAACCAATGAAGACAACTAAAAATAAGACAACAGAGTCATATTTGATATTATGTCTCTCAAATTGTAAGCCTACATATGCAGAAAACAAAGAGAGTCCATGAAAAAAAAAGAAAAATACTTAATTAATACATTCTGCATCTTAAAAGCCAACTATTCTGCAGAAAATAATACCTTAAATTCTTGTTTTCTGAGTTAATGATCTGATCGACTCTAATCTGTTGTGCTGGATGTATTGCAATATCAGTGTTGTCTGTATCTGTAAAATATCTTCTCTGTGACATTTTGTATCGAGACGTATATATCGTATATTCGAATGGGTTTTCTGAATGATACTCAAGGTGCTACTCTTAACAAACACTAAAATGCAGTTTGCCCTACAAGCATCATGTTGATTAGCTGAAGGAAAATACACTAATAATCTTACAAAATGCAGCCAAAGTGGCAGTCCATTAAATAATCTCACAAACGAAGGACCAATATCTGCACTCTTTTGCCCATAAACTATTTCTACCCCTCATTCCAAACAATGGAAAAATAACAGAGACGTTTCTCTGATCATGAAATTAACATGGTAACAACATTACATTAACAAGGATGCCAATTGTCTTAAATTCTTGTTTTCTGAGTTACTGAGCTCTATCACACTAACAACTCATGTATTTCCTTGACAGATCAAAGTAGCAGTTCTCTAACTGGTAGTGTGGTTGTTGCTTTATTATAATAGAAATTTTGCAGGCTATGTAAGTTTTGTCAGAGACATGGTCACGTTGAGGAGTGTAGGAAGAGAAATACACCTCAACCTAGCAGAGAACAATGGACAAATAGAGAAGACAGCAATGGAATTAGCAGAGATGAAAATGGGAAGAGTTCTCTGGAAGCACCACAGAGGGATAAAGCTAAACAGGTATGGACATCACCAAAAAAACACAAGTAGACTGCAGCTAACTTTCATATATACATTAACGATAAAAAAGATATACCTTGCGAGAAGAAGGAACTTGATGTCACTGATGGCATCCGTGGTGCTTGCGTTGCTTGTTTATTGCCGCTATTGGCATCATGAACCTAGTAAATATAAGCACATATTAGATAGCACAATTTTCTTATAAAGCTAAACTTTAAGAAGAAAAGTTTAAAACTTTGAAATCAATTCACCTGTCTAGTAGTGATTCCATTGTTTTGAGGCCCATATAATTCAGTAGAAGCATATTTGCACATAAATTGTCTCATCCATGATAATTCCGACACTAGCATATATTGATTTTTTTTCATCAAAGCAATTTCTTCATCCTATTTTTTATTCAACTCCTTTAACTTCTTTATCTCTTGTTCTAACTTATGTGCAGCCTCATTAGACAAACCATCAGCAACAGCATTTCGTAAGGAAGATTTACCACCCCGTAATAGAGAAGGGGTAGGACCAAGTCCTAAACCACGAACATAACCACTTTTTTCAGTTCCAAACACTTGAGAATACACATCTCCTTCCCCAGCAACATCACCACGATGTTGTTCATTAGATGTCTCGCCATTACTCAACCTCTCATTCATCATGTCCCGAGAGTAATAGAGATAACAATTTATGACACAGTAAAGTAGAAGATAAACAAATAATTTATGACACAGGTTGAGCATATTCGTTAAGACCTGTAATTATTGACAAGAGAAAGAAGCATAGTGGGACAAAGAAGCTGGAAAAAAACAGGAGAGGACAGTTTGTGCTTATAAAAAGGAGAGTACAGTGGAATTTATGATGCCATCGAATCGAACTAGTGAAGAAGTTTAATTTCAGAACAAAAGACTTGCATGAGCTAGTGTAGATGTTTAATCTTAAAAAAAAAAGAAGCACAGAACTTGTGAAAGATAAAGTTGTATAAGAAATTTTACAATAGTATTTGAAGACTCCTCATCCGGTGGTTTACCATCCTTACGCATTGTATGAGTTAATATGTAAACTTCTTCACGTGTAGGTTCTATTCCATCTATAGCCTAATAAAGATTAGTTGATGCCAAACAATTAGACATGAATAAAAAGAGTTGCAGAATCTAATACCATATAATTTACGCATGAATACCTTTTCATTCATCAAAGTTGCTATGCTTTTGGATCCTCCGGTGTGAGGCATCTTTTGCTTAGCCCTACTGATTCTATTTGCTTGACTACGCTTCTGTCATTGCAACATAAAAACACGAACTGTACTTAAGCACATAGGGTAAAGTATTTATTAAATGATTTGTTGTGTTCAAAAGACTACATTCTCACCTACTGGCTTGAGATACATACTATATGAAGAAAAATAACTCATCAAGAAATGAAGGGACTTGTTTTTAAATTGTTTGACAGTAGAGAATACATAAAGTTCAAACTTGTTCAAGTGAGAATATATAATCTGCTCAAGCACTTAAAAGGTTGAAATCATATTGAACTGCTAACCAAAAAGGTACTTACTGACCTTTGCTTTATCAGAAAGCCAATACGAGGTGAGACCAATCCATTGATCCATTGGTATGTGACTTGGTCTATTTTTCATCAAGGCATCTTTGGTCTTATATTTGGTCACATACATAGTCTTCAGATCACATTTATAGTCCTTCCGTTTCTTCTCTATTGACTTTTTTATAAACTCTTCTCCACGTATTGGGATTGAGAATTTCTTCTGAAAAGATAGAGCAAGGAAACTAAATGATACTGTATCATGTATAAAATAATATCATGTATAAAAATAAATGATACTTATTAAGAATAATAATTTCATATCCCTCACAAACTCCACCAATTTCTTCTTTATCAAATGCTCGCCAATCATCTACGTTTAATGGTGTTAGTTCCGGAGTTCTAGCGACGATGCCTAGAAAGCTAGCAAGCTTTTGAACCTCTTTTCCAATAGCTTGATTACGACAATTAAACTGCACAACAATTGTCTTCCCCGGTGGTAGATTCCAAACATCTTTGAGTAATGTAGGCCCACGAACTTTTCGTACCCCTGAATAACCTGAAACAGATTCAAAGGTCATAATTTAGTTCAATCAAATTTACAACGGAAAAAGCTAACCATTAAATAGTTAGACTGCATACTATACAGATAATATGTTACTTTACATAATAATTTTCCAGATACTTTATCGTGTTAATCTTGTTACCAGAGGGAATTTTTCACTTGGCACTAGCCAACCTAGAGGACCCTAATTCAAGGATACAAAATATAAGCCCCAGAAAAAAAGAACAGAACCAGATTCATTGTTCTGCTCAGGCCTCAGCGGCAGTGCCCACAGAATTGTTCAAATTACTAGATTATTCATCATATGTTTGGGCTTGAGAGCAATTTTGAGCATTCATTAATTGCTCAATATAGGGTCGAGCCACTTCATTATGACGTAGTCCAGTAACCGATCTGCTGCCAACTCTAGTTCTCATATTTCACTCTCCAAACTTAAGTACTAATTTATTTTCAAGAACCTATAGAAGTCATAAAGAAAATGTCAGTGTCAAAATCAATACCTGTAAGCTACTATCCGAAGTTGTCTGAACGGCCAAATATATACACCTTCTACTCTGATTTAAGCACCCCCTGTTGTTGGTAACATTAATTGGTTTAAGAAAATGTCATTTGAATAAGCGATCACATAAAGTAAAGATGGATATGAATCAGCAGAAGAGTTATTTGCTTCTGAACAAGAAAGTACAGAAGAGACAATTCCACAAGAATGTATACTCCAGAGGATAAATTCACACAAAGAAATGAAGTCATTTCAATTAGGAAAGCAATTGTATTGTAAATGGAGTACTGGAGCTGGACCTCGAATCGGATGCTTGAGAGATTACCCTTCACAACTACAATCACATGCATTAAAAAGAAGTGAACTTGTCCCCTAGAAGTGCTTGTCGTCTCAATTTTTATTCGAGGTCATCAACACCGACCAGCTTTAGTAAAGAAATGCAAGAGCCTTTTCCTATACGTCATAGTTGGAAAGGAAGAAATTAGAAACAAAAAGAAGAAATATTTTCTTTCAACTGAAATTGGCTGTCGAGAGCAATCCTAATCCCACCTTATCCCATTAAACTTGGGATTATATTTTCCCACCTGGGTAAACTAGTCCAGGGATTATAATTTTAGAATTATAATCCCCGAATAATTTAGTCCGCGTACTAAACGATCCTGAGTACTGTATAAGTGGTCCATCTATAATCTGTGTCATCATTCAGTAATCATATTTTTCAACAAACTGAGTAAGCATTCATAATATATATAGGAGTATTCAAAACTCAGAAAACATTAAATTAACAATTCAAACATCAGCATAGCACAGCAAAACATTAGCCTACTTTTATTACTCCTTCTGTCTCCTTATAATTTCAATAAATATCATATAAATTTGATAAGCAATCACATAAAGTACAATCAGCTCAGGCACCAAAACTCAACTGCTGCAATTTTTTACTATCAATTAGAAGTAAAGGAAATAAGAACGACCAAGTGCTTTAAATAAGAATAAGTGCACAGGTTCCAGTAACATAATTGCATGAATTTTAATACAGAATTAAGCTGTTCTATAGCTGCCTGAACTCAAAAAATTTCTCACCGGTTAATTCGATTCTAACAACAACTAACAAGGTCCTTCAATCAACAAACTAGTCTCTCATTAAAAACACTTGGACATAACAGCTTCTAAAAGGCTCATCAAATGAAACACAATACATCACAAAACATAGGAACAGGGCATAAGCACATTACACTATTCCCTATCGGGCTAATTCCGTTTACATAATAAGTTGTAACATAACAAAATAATCAAATCAGTGTTTTTTTCAAATCAGATACATAAGTTTTTCTTTTAATAATAAAATCAGTATATGGAGAAATACAAAAATTCACATGATATTCACATTCTTACCTCAAAACTTTGACGCCCGAGCCCGGCTACTGCTGGTGAATAGCGAAGGGGAAAGTTCTGTGTGAATCTGCGAAGGAAAATTTCTAACCCTAACGATAAGAAATTTCAGAACGTATGGAGAAGAGAGCAGAGATTCCATATTATATGAGAAAGTTCAAAATTGAGCTAAACTTACAGAAGCTATGGAGCTTACCGAGATTTGAAATACAAAGCAAAGAGAACAACTTCAGATTGTAGAGTAAAAACACCAAAACCAATACAAAAATCACAAAAATCAAAATTAAAACGAGCAAAGACAATATATATAGTAACAGTATAAAGTATAAACATAGTATGTAAATTTAAATTTATGTGAACTTATTTTCTTTTTAGTCTGTGCCAAAAATTATTTGGAAACAATTTACCTTTGTGCAATGATTTATAGCCACATAAAATATATATGCCGCATTTTACACCACAAATTCAAAAGTCTTCCCTCTTTCTTAAACTCCGTGCCCAGTCAAATGGGCTCACATAAATTAAAATGGAGGGAGTATATAAGATCGAGATCGAATTGATATTACACTAAACTCAACTAAAATGCTAGCTGAATCGAATAAGTACAGTTATAGGAAAATCGAGAAGTAGATCAAAGAATAACTAAGTTGAATTGAAGAGACACTCACCGATCAGAGGAAGAGAAATGGAGAAAGAGAGAGAGATTGTAGGCTTCAAATTTGAATTGGGGGAATTTAGAGACTAAAAATAATTGGAGGGAAGCTAAAGAGAATTGGAGGCCACACAACTTGAATTGAAAAGGCTAGTTTTTTCTCTTTCAGGACTAATATTTTTATTTTGTCACTAAAAAGTATTCTTTTACCAGCTAAAGTTTAACTGCCGGTAATTGGTGACTTTAGAATAGAGGTGACAAAATGGTTAAAAGAAAACAGTTATCCACCCATATTATTCATCAAAAATGGGTTGGATAATGAAGCATTTAAAAATTGGTCGAATATGGATAAAGAACCATATTATCCACTTAGAAAATGGATAACCAATGGATAACTAATGTGTTTAACTTTTACATTTGTAAAGCCTCAAATTGGAGTTCCTCAAGTTTGGAAGACTAGAAATTCTCTTATAAGTGATCATATTTAAGAAGCCATGGATAATATGGATATCCATATTATCCGCCGGATAAACCCGTGTTTTATCCGCCTCAAATACGGGTCGGGTCGGATAATTTACCCGTTTCGACCCGCTCATATCTGACCCGACCCGCCAGTCTGCCACCCCTAGAATATAAATTAGCGGCTTAAGCTATTGCCGCTAAACGTCTAATTTGTTGTAGTGAATATGCAAAAGATATTTGTCTCTTCCATATAGAAACCCAGTGATGAATGTACAGCAGAGACATACAGCTTTAATACAAATACCTAGCATAGTAGATATTTGTCCCAATGCTGTGTATGCAGAGCAGTGCTTCCTCATATGATGGCTATGTACTTTCTCGTCAAACCCAACACGAAGATTCTTTGATATAACACTGTATTACGCAACTCCGACTCATCTAAAGCTTAATCAAAAAGAGCTAGCACATTAGAAGCTGTGTGAATGTAACAGCTTCTATAGTTTATTTAAATATTCAAAAGCAAACTATTTGACAGACTTACACCAGAAATATAAATTCTGCAAGCAAGTATTCTTAATTCTAGAAGTATGCATCCTCCTTCCTCCAAAGCAAGCATTATTCCTTTCCAGCCCAAAAAGTCGAGAAGATGCACATGGGGATGGTTTTCCAAATCTGCTTCAGGTTTCTAGGCATCGGCTGACTTCGTCAGCTATCCATTGACCTCTTGGATCTTCAGTGGCATTACCCATGAAACACCTGTCACATTTAGAAACAGCTCCAAACATTCCCTAGAAACTCTGCAATGTAAAAACAAGTGTTCCACTATATTTTCTAAAATTGGTTTCAGCACCTAAAAGTGCTTTTCAACAGTTTATGCTTATTGACTACTTTTAATCAGCTAATCCAAAAAGGGCTTAGCCTCAGGCCCGACTATCAGTTTCTCGTGAACTTCATGCCTCATTCTTATGTCTACAAAGACATGAGGCTTGCAAACTTTCAATGTTACCTGTCTTAGCAAATGCAATGTAAAAACAGGTGAAAAGAAAAGGTCTTTCGAGATTTGAATTTCGGTCCCTTGTGCAAATCTCTAACTCTTTGCCGCTAGGCTATCTCCTTAGGGGTGTTCTGTCCTCCAAAGTTATGCCTAAGTTTTAGGACTTCAAAAGATTGAAATCTACTTCTCAGGAAAAAGAATTTTTTTCCAGATCCTCCAACAATGAAAATTGCTTCTTTAAGAAATTACCAAACACTATGAGAGTGTTCTTTTCATGTTAAAACCAGTTATCACTGTTAAAGGAGATATAATACATATATTAAAATTGTCCTGCTCCTACATATTTAATTCAACACGACTAACAAGTTTCATACATCTTACAATCTTGTCTCCACTTTACTTAAAACAGTCATAAATTACATTAAAGTACCTATTAAAGTAGCCTGTTTTGGTTGGATTGTAGCAAAGGAAGCTTTTCTAACTAAGGAGAACTTGCAGAAGAGAGGTTTTGTTCTATGTAACAGGTGTTACATGTGTGAAGAAGAGGCATAAACAGTCAATCATCTACTCTTTACACTGGAAGGCATTGCCCACTTGACATCATGGCAACAACAGAAAGTGATTGACTGTGTAAAGAGTTTGTTGGAGACATGGCAACAACAGAAAGTGACAAAAAGTCAACAGATAGTATGGAGAATAATTCCTCTGTGTGTGTTCCGGAAAATATGGTTGGAAAGAAACAGGGTTTGCTTTGAAGGGGAAAGGCGGCATGTATCCAGGATCAAAAACATGATGCTTATTAAACTTGTATTTCTGGTGTAAAAGACATGTAATTGAAAATATGGAACAATATATGGATTTTCTAGAGGAGCTAAGAGGAATGTAGTTGCTTTGTTGTATTAGTTTGGATGTTTGTAATTTTGTACCATCTTGGTACCTTTTAATAAAATCTTACCTTATCAAAAAATTCCTGAACCGAGGGTCTATTGGAAACAGCCTCTCTATACTCACAAGGTAGGATAAGGTCTGCGTACACATTACCCTCCCCAGACCCCACGGTGTGGGATAATACTGGGTATGATGTTGTTGTTGTTGCTTAGCTTATCAAAAAAAGATAATAAAAAAAAGTCATAAATTACATAGACTCTAGGAATGGAGACAGAAAAGACATAGTATTCGATATAAATATGACTTATCAAAAGATCATATGCAGCAAATGCTGATATCAATTTGCAAATCCAGGCGTCCACCTAATGTCAATCCGAGTCTGCAGGCTGATCTCACAGTTAATACTTACCTCACTGAAACTGGACAAGCTTTCGATTCTGACTCACTTGATCTTTGATAGCCATAAAGAAGATATCAAAAGCATCCTATAGTGAGTTTCATTCTTCTAGAATTAAACTGGTTAATGACTTTGCCAGATTTTATAGAAGACAAACTATGCTATAAGAATTTTCAGTAATTGCTAGTTTAAAGTTATAACTCAGTAATCATAACTTTCACCCTACACCAGCTGAGTATAGGTTCTAGCCTACCAGAAGTTCTCCATTAAGAAAACTGAGAATAAAGCCAATCCTGATTGCATTCGAACACAACATACTTGGAAACAAGAAAGTATCACAATTAACGGAATTATCTTTTGTCCAGCTATATTGAAAACAAGAAAGATACATCAATGGATTCTGAAGGTAAATGACAGAATGTAATTATTTAAATAAAAAATCATTCGACTTTTATAGTAAAAATACATAACAAATAGAGCAAATAAACAAATATGTCTGACTCTAACACAGAGTTGGTGTGACCCAAGTTGGAGGACAAACACGACTGAGGGAAACACCCTCGTAATGCATCTGGATGCTGCCATCTGCTAAGTTGAACACCCCCATGTCCAAGCCTCCTCCTTCAACAAAGCCGAGGTATGATTCAAAAAAATCGTCAGTAAAATAAATATGATTGGGCTTGATTCCTGGAAATTGAGAAGTTTGGACAGAAAGAGAAGCATTAGCACCCAGAAAAAAAGCTCTCTCCCCTAATTCCCTGGTTTCTGTTACTTTGCCAGCAGCAGCTAAATCAACCTTGAAAACTCCAAATTGTTTTGTTCCATATCTTAACTCCTCCCCATCCCGAAGCTCTTCCTCATTTTCTCCTACGATGTAAGTCAATGGAATCCTCATCCTGTCACAATCATCTTTGACTTGGCTTATTTGAACACCATCTCGCACAACTATAAATAATGATCCTAGTGATTCTACGATGTATAAATGATCTAGCCTGTCTCGAGGACCAAATGGTAACTGCGCTATGATATGACTTTTTTTAGTGGGTTCAGGGCCAGCTACATCACAAACAAGGACGCGGCCGGAATAATCTACTGCATAAAAGCGGCCATTAAAATATACCACATCAACAAATGGAGTATGATCTGATCTGTCCCAGCTAACCCTGGTCCATCTCAAATCTCCAGGTCTCCAAAAACTGAGGAATCTAATGCCTCCCTCAATGACCATGAGAACAAAGTCGGATGTATAAAAAGGACTAGCTGACAAAACTGCCTTGCGAAAAAAAGTAAACGGATAGCCAGTCTCGTGTTCATCAAAATCTTTAGTGGTATTTTGATGTGGCAATTCGAACTGAACACCGGAGAAAGGATGTAGCAAACTAGCTTCACCCTCGTCTTTTCCAACTGTGATAAGCCATCCCATAGACTCCACACATCGTTTTCCTCTAGCTTTAGGAATCCTCTTCTTCAAAATCATATCATTATAGAGGCTGAAGAATTTTCGACAGCAACTGTCCCTTTTATCCTCCTCTTCTGGTAACATCAGCCATGGAACTCTAGGCAATTCACTGTTAAAATTGTTTTTGGTGGCTGCGGAGTGCCAGGATTTACAGACGGTGCCGAGTGCCGAAATTTAAGTAGTCTTCAATCAAATTGAAACGTCTACCAATGAGAACTAGCAGATCGTGTTGAAGTTCGGACCAATCACGCATCTCTTGCGCCATGGCATATAGGAGAAAATCTATCGATGCCAACGAGCCGTCCTATATGTTTGCTATAAGTAAAGAAAAAATCCCTAGATTCGGACGACAGACTTCCAACCCAAAGTACATTCAGAATCCTAGTTGCCGACACTTTTTTTGTGGGAGCACGTGGGTGTTGGAACACACCTGCGCGGCTTGTCCCTTTAAGTTTATGTTTATTACAGGTTTGCCGCCTCCTTTTTTTTTAAGCGGAAAAGGTTCAAAACTGCGCTCGACTATTCAAAATGGGATACGTTTACACCCGTTTGGACTTGTTTTAAGTGACTTTTAAGCCATAAGTTAGGAATTTTAATTTTTAACTTTTGGTTTATTTTTGTCATTTTAACTTAACAAAAGTACTTAAAAATATATTTTTTTACTTTATTCAAATACTACAAAATGACTTAAAAGTTATTTTTACTTAAAAGCACTTAAAATAAGTTAATCCAAACGACTCTTAACCTCTATTAAAAGTTGGCATCATTTGTGTCTCTACCTTTACGTAAAGGGGTCATTACGTCCCTCCTTTGCTAACGGGCACAATTTTCAAATTTTTTAATTCCAAATTTCTTTTTCTCTTTTTAAAGTCCACTTGTCACACCCCACTCCCTTCCTACCCTCCCTTTTTTTCTCTAGAAATGATCAAAACTACCCCTGAACTATACGAAAACTCGTCCCTAGCCTCTTATTTTTATTTTTTTTATTCCTTCCATTTTCTTTCTCTTTCTTCTTTCTCTCCTTTCAACATACCTGGAGAACCTCACTCAAAACCTCCCAAAGATCCAAAATAGTTTTCCAAATAAAGTAACACATACTAATACAAATACACTTATACCCACCCACAAATATACAAATATAGCACATCATCTTAAAACTTTCATATTCAAGTGAACCTTTAGTAGAATTGTACTTATATACCATGTGTGCTTTAGACGACTTATTTTTCTACTGATTGATCTTTTTTCCTCTTGGTTTGTTTTTTTCCAGTGAGTGGATGCATCAGCCGATATATATATATATATATATATACACACACACACACACACACTATATGTTACGATTACATGTATAGGAAGAAAGTAACTCAAACTAAAGAAAATTTCATACATAACACTAGTGGGAGTTAAAACATGATTTTTTGGTAGATAGGGCCTCTTTAACAACCTTTTTTATGCAAAAATTAAATTAAAATAGTAAATTGTAAGACAAAACGTTCAATACAAGATCAACTCGTGAGTGACACAGAAATTTTACTTTTATTTTTTTATTTTAAAAAACTATTTGGTTCCATAAAGGTTAAAACTCTATTAATGGTAAAGCCATATTTGTCTTACATGTTCTCTTTATAGCGAGAGCCGTCTTTATTAATCTTGGAGGGTTCTATGCTATTAATAGATGATGGTACACATAACTTAAATTCATTAGGGAGGTTTGGAATTTTTTGGAAGGTTTAGGTAAGGTTCTTCAATGGATGTTGAAAGGAGAGGAAGAAGAAAGAGAAAGAAAATGAAAGGGAGAAAAAAAAAAACTAAAATAAAGAGTTGGGGAGGGGTATAACTGTCCCATTTCATATAGTTCAGGCCAAGTCTTCGAAGAGATTTTTGAGAGAGTTTTCACCTAGGGATCCTACTACAAGCAAAGTGAATTTCTAGCTATGATGTTGTGAGAGTTTTGAATTAGACCTATTACTGTCACGTCCCGAAATTTCTCACCGACGGGACCGTGATGACGCCTAACATTTCACTTGCTAGGCAAGCCAACGTTAGAGAATCATTAAACCAATTCCTTATTTACATTCAGTAATTAACAATAATTAACTAAGATGAAATATAATAAGTGCGGAATATCATAAAACTGTATTAATTACTACTACTCGGATCTGGAGTCACAATTTACGAGCATTCTAGAATTTACTAAAAGTAATAGTCTGAAAGAAATACAACTGTCTGAATGAAAGAAACAGTAGAACAGAAAAGATAGACGGGGACTTCAAGGTCTGTGAACGCCGACAGATCTACCTTTAGTAAACGGATAGTGGACCAATAACAAAAATCTCGATCAACCCGAGCCGATATCAAAATCTGCACAGAAAGTGCAGAGTACAACATCAGTACAAACCGACCCCATGTACTGGTAAGTGTCGAGCCTAACCTCGATGAAGTAGGGACGAGGCTAAGGCAAGACACCTACAAATCAACCTGTATAATTAAACAGTGTATATACAAATAACAGAAATGAAGAACTAAACAGGAAATGTCGGGAGGGGAACATACTGAGGGGAATACAAGATGAAAAACTACAACAGAATAATTACCGGAGCAGTCAATATATCATGAATCAACAGGAATAGTGAATACAGTAAAGATAAATGCACGGCATCACCCTTCATGCATTAACTCTCATATCATGGCACGACATCACCCTTCGTGCATTAACACTCACATATGGCATGACATCACCCTTCGTGCATTAACACTCACAATATGGCAAGACATCACCCTCCGTGCATTAACACTCACAATATGGCACGGCATCACCCTTCGTGCATTAACACTCCCCCTTACCATAATGCAATGCATAAATAACAACAGGGAGATAGAATAACAAGTACAAACCTTACTTCAACATTTTTGTTCCATAATATCAATCCTAACTTTGAAATAGAAACTCAATTATCACAAAAAAATCCGTAAACATGATAAGAACGATAAATTGAACAACACTAGTATAACACGTAGCAATTAGGCATAGGAATAAAATAATATAAGAAAAACAGAGAAACATGCAAAACAGGTAAATTGGCGGCGCATAAGTACTCGTCACCTCACATATATGCCGCTCACATGAATTTCACTTAGCAAGTAATCTAAGGTTCCTAATTCCCTCAAGTCGGGGTTAGACACAATACTTACCTCGCTTCGAAGGTCACTTAATTCTCAATCACAGCTTTTCCTCTAGAATTCACCTCCAAACCACTCGTATCTATTCAAAAATGACTCAATAATATCAAATATTGCTAAAGGAATCAATTACATTGCATAAATTTAGATTTCCCAAATTTTTCTCCAAAAAGTCAAAAATCGACCCCAGGCCCGCTTGGTCAAAACCCAAGGTTCAGACCAAAATCCATTTACCCATTCACCCCTGAGCCCGAATATATAATTGGTTTTGGAATCCGACCTCAAATTGAGGTCTAAATCCCTAAATTTCTGAAATTCCTAGTTTCTACCCCAAACCCCTAATTCTACCATGAAAATCTTAGATTTTAGGTTGAAATCTTGTAAAATGTAATGAAAGATTGAAAGAAACCAGTTTAGAATCACTTACCTATGATTTGGGGGAAGAAATGGTCTTAGGAAACAAGTCTAAAAATATCATAGGAATTTGCTCGCGCGATCAAATCTCCAAAATAACACCTAGAACTATGAATTTAATACCAAATTAAATGAAATTCTCAAAAATACTTTAAAATTTCTATTTTCTTAACTGGACGTCCGAATCACGTCAAATCAACTCCATTTCTCACCAAATTTCACAGAAAGGTCTTAAATATCATAATGAACCTGTACCGGGTTTCGAAACCAAAATACAGATCCGATAATAATAATGCCAAATATCAATCAATTCTTAAAAACAAATAATTTTCAAACTTTTAATTTTCATCAAAAATTCATAACTCAAGCTAGGGACCTCCGAATTCGATTCCGGACATACGTCCAGGTCCCATAATTCGATACGGACCTACCGGGACCGTCAAAGCATGGATCCAGACCCGTTTACCAAAAATGTTGACCGAACTCAACTAAAATCAACTTTTAAGGCAAAAATTCTTATTTTTATTAGTTTTTAACATAAAAGCTTTTCGGAGACCTTCCCGGACTGCGCACGCAAATCGAGGAGGGTAAAAATGAGATTTTTAAGGCTTAAGAGAGCAGATTCAAGTTCTAAAATATAAGATGACCTTTTGGGTCATCACATTCTTTACCTCTAAAACAACCGTTCGTCCTCGAACGGACATAGAAAAGTACATGGGCTGGTGAAAAGGTGGGGATATCCACTCCGGATATCGGACTCAGACTCCCAAGTAGCTGCCTCAATAGGCTGACCTCTCCACTGCACTCGAACTAAAGGGTAACTCTTTGATCTCAACTGGCGAACTTGCCGGGCTAGAATTGCCACTGCCTCATCCTCGTAAGANTGGCGATCGGCATCGCCTTCCGTATAATGCCTCATATGAAGCCATCTGAATGCTCGATTGGTAGCTATTATTATAAGCAAACTCCGCAAGTGACAAGAAATGATTCCAAGAACCTCCAAAGTCTATAACACAAGCGCGAAAACATATCTTCCAATATCTGAATAGTGCGCTCTGACTGTCCGTCTGTCTGTGGATGAAATGTTGTACTCAACTTCACCCGCGTGCCTAACTCACGTTGTATAGCCCTCCAGAAATGTGAGGTAAACTACGTACCTCGATCTGAAATAATAGACACGGGCACCCCGTGAAGGCGGACAATCTCACGAATGTAAATTTCAGTTAACTTCTCTGAAGATTAGGTAACTGCCACTGGAATGAAATGTGCTGACTTGGTCAACCTGTCCACAATGACGCAAACTGCGTCAAATTTTCTCTGAGTCCATGGGAGCCCAACAACAAAATCCATAGTGATACACTCCCACTTCCACTCAGGAATTTCTAACTTCTGAAGCAAACCACCGAGGCTCTGATGCTCGTACTTAACTTGTTGATAATTCAGACACCGAGTTACATATGCAACTATATCCTTTTTCATTCTCCTCCACCAATAATGTTGCCGCAAATTTTGATACATTTTGGGAGTACCTGGATGAATAGAATACCTAGAACTGTGTGTCTCTTCAATAATTAATTCACGAAGCCCATCCATATTAGGCACACAAATATGACCCTGTATTCGCAGAACTCCATCTTCCCCCACAACAACCTGTTTGGAATCACCGTGCCGCATCACGTCCTTAAGTACAAGCAAATGAGGATCATCATATTGTCGCCATCTGATGCGCTCATATAAAAAAGACTGAGCGACTGTGCAGGCTACAATCCGATTGGATTCTGAAACATCTAACCTCATGA